GCCGCCGCCGCCGCCGACGACGACGACGACGAAGTCGCGACCTCCCCAGGGTCGGCGGCACGGGCCACAAGGCCTCCGCAATACAAACGACATGTGGCACATGTTGCGGCATTCGGTGTGCTCGAAGCGTCGCCACGCAGCGCGCTGCGCTGGCACTGCGGCGGACCTTGCTGCAGGCAGCCGGATAAGTCCCCGACCTCGTCGCCGCTCGCAGGGACGAGAACGGAAGACATGAAGGCTTGGGGCCTCCGGAGCCCTGGATCTGGCTGAAACCGACGCCTTCCCCCCCCCGACACCGACCAGCTTTCGCAACCGAACAGAAAGGACCCAACATGACGGACACCGCACGTGTGAACATGCTGGGTGAAATCCGCTCGGTACCTGGACCCCGCCTCGGGCCCAACGGGGCGAGCTGCTCATCCCGGATTGGTGCCCGACGGCGCTGGGCGCCGAGAACGGCCCCAGACGCTGACGAAGACGAAAAAACACTCGACCCTCGCCTTCGGGCAGCGCGCCAGGTGCACACGCCTCCGGCGGCGGGCCCTCACGGCCGGAGCGGGCTCCTCCGCCTGGGACGCGGGCAGCGGCGCGTAGCCCTCCGGCGCACCGTTGCCGACCGCGCTGTGGCCGTGTCGGCTCGCCTCGACGGGGGCCCCTCCTCGCCCTCCCTCCTCCTCCTCCTCCTCCTCCTCCTCCCTCCTCCTCCTCCTCCTCCTCCTCCCCTCCTCCTCCTCCTCCTGGGCCGCTGGGCTCTCCGTGCCGACGCCCCGGGCCTCCGGGCTTTTCCATCCCAGGAGCGGTGCTCGCGACGGTTGGGCCCGGCCGACGGCCGCCTCGCCCTCGCCGTGGCCTGCAGCCTCGTCCTCGCCCTCCTGCCTGCTCTGCTGCCCTGCCAGTGGCTCTCTACTGGACCCCTCTCGCGGACACCGAAGCCGATCCAAGCCTCCTCCTCGTCCTCGTCCTTCTCCCTCCTCCTGTCTCCTCCTCCTCCTCCTCCTCCTCCTCCTCTCCTCCTCCTCCTCCTCCTCCTCCTCCTCCTCCTCCTCCTCCTCCTCCTCCTCCTCCTCCTCCTCCTCCTCCTCCTCCTCCTCCTCCTCCTCCTCCTCCTCCTCCTCCTCTCCTCCTCCTCCCTCCTCCCTCCTCCCTCCTCCTCCCTCCTCCCCTCCTCCCCCTCCTCCTCCTCCTCCTCCTCCTCCTCCTCCTCCTCCTCCTCTCCTCCTCCTCCTCCTCCTCCCCCTTCATCCTCCTCCCCCTTCATCCTCCTCCCCCCCCTTCCTCAACCTCCTCGCCCTCCTCCTCGTCGTCCTCCTCCTCAGCAGCAGCAGCCATCATTATCTTCATCATCACCACCATCACCAGTATCACGATCATCATCAGCAGCATCAGCATCAGCATCAGCATGATCACCATCATCTGCATCTGCATCTGCATCTGCAGCATCATCATCGTCAGCATCATCTTCAATAACAACAGCATCATGATCCTCATCAGCATCATCAGCAGCATCAGCACCAGTATCATCAGCATCATCATCACCATCATCATCATCATCATCATCATCATCATCATCATCGTCATCATCAACAGCAGCAGCAACAGCAACATCATCAGCATCGTCATCATCGTCGTAATCATCGTCATCATCACCAGCGTCATCATCCTCATCAGCATGATTATCATCATCATCAGCATGATCGTCATCAACAGCAGCATCATCATCAGCAGCAGCATCACAGCTTGCCTGCAGCTCGAATTAAGTGGGGAAAACCAAGATCGCCTCTCCAAAAATTTGAAGAGTCAAAATAGTTTGTTTCTGTTGCAGCTCTGGTAGCAGACCGATCTCAGGCGTCTAGATACTTTAGACTAGCGCTCCCGATAATTTTCTGTCGACAGGCGTGCATCTCAGCTCCACAGCTCGCCTAAAGCTCGAATTAAGTAGAGAAAACTAACCTTGATCTCTCAAATTTGCAGAGTGGGAATAGAATTTCGTAGCTCTGGTAGCGGACAGATATCAGACGTCTCGATACTGTAGGCAAATGTTTCTGGTCATTCCCTGTTTAACGGCCTGCTTCCCAGCTCCGTAGCTCGCCTGGAGCTCGAATTAAGGAGAAACGCAACATTGCCTATCAGCATCATCATCATCATCATCATCATCATCATCATCATCATCATCATCATCCTCATCGTCAGCATCATCATCATCATCATCATCATCATCATCATCATCACCACCATCATCATCATCATCATCATCATCATCACCATCATCATCATCATCACGGTCATCGTTATCGTCATCGCCATCATCATCGTCATCATCATCAACATCACCATCAGAATGATCATCTTCATTACTTCTACCATCACAAAATCCGTCAATGACATCATCAGCAGCATCAGCATCATCAGCATCGTCATCAGCATCATCATCATCAGCATCATAATTCGTCCATCCCTTCCTCCCTCCCGCTCTCCTCTTCATCATCATCATCATCATCATCATCCTCATCATCATCATGATCATCATCATCATCATCATCATCATCATCATCATCACCATCATCATCATCATCATCATCATCATCATCATCATCATCATCATCATCCCGCTACTCCTCCTCTCTTACTCCCCCTCCTCCTCCCCCTCATCCTCCTCCTCCTTCGCCTCTTCCTCCTTCTGCTCCTTGTCATCCTCCTCCTCCTCCTGCTCCTCCTCCTCCGCCTCCTCTTCCTCCTCCTCCTCCTCCTCCTCCTCCTGCTCCTCATCCTCCTCATCCTCCTCCTCCTCTTCCTCATCCTCCTCATCTTCCTCCTCCTCCTCCTCCTCCCTCCTCATCCTCATCCCCCTCCTCCTCCTCCTCCTCCTAGCCGTTTCGGCACGAGCTCTTTCAGGGGCCCGTGCTTGTGTTCACGTACTTCGAAGCGGCTCGTGAACACGGGCCACTTCACAAGCGCACGGCGCCTCCCGCTGCAGAGTCCAGCAGTGGCGGATGGTGCCAAACCCGCCCGATGTCTTGCCTGGAGCCAAGGCTCCCCTGTGGAGTTGCAGCTGCGGGTGCCCGGACAATTGGGCGTCCAGGGTCATATGCAGAGGCTGCGGCAAGGAAGCCCCAGTGCGAGTCGTCCAGGCAGCTCGTAAGGCTTCAGCGGCACTTAAGTCAGGATCGGTTCGCGGGCCTCGTGGCGCCTGGGCTCAAGGGCCGCCGCCGATCGGACCCAGCAACAAGGAGCAGATGCGCCTCATCCAGGAGCTCAGGGCAGAGGTCGCACAGTTGGCGGGTAAGCAGCCCCCAGCTCGGCCGCCATGGCAGTCCAGCTCCCCTTCGCCGCAGCGGGGCACGACGGGCGAATCGTCCGCCAAGCTCTCGTTCGCTGATGTGCTGCAGTTCCTCAAGGATGAGGGCGTTGACACGGCGAAGGTCGAAGAAGCAGAACAGGCAAAGAAGCAGGCTACGGCAGTCAAGCAGCCCACGTCCAGGGCCGCGCACTGGAAGGTCGAGAACCTCCGCACCAAGCTCTCCAAGGCGGAGGTGCGTGCGGCGGCGTTGCGCAAGCAACAGGAGGATCTTCAGGCTGAGATCGCTGAGCTGGACAAGAGCGTCGACAAGCTCAAAGAGGACCTCGGACAGGCTGAGCAGGCGCTTTTCCGCGTCCAAGCAGATGGAGATCCACTCAGAGCAGTCACGGCCACCCTGGACGAGGCCGTCGCCCAGTCTGATGAAGGAAAAGCTGCATTGGCCACCCTCCAGCGCCTGCAGGCCGAGGCTCAGGCCAAGAGGGCAGTGGCCAGCGGGCCTGATGCTGCAAGTGCTCCTCCTGGTCCTGCTACAGGCGGGGCGGGCAGCGGCGAGCACATTGCAGCCACGGCAGGCGACGGCGACGACATCGACATGGACTTGCTGGATGGAGAAGACTTCGATGAGCGCAGGGCAGCTTTTGACAAGGCCGCCCAGGAGCTCAAGGAGGCCAAAGGAGGAAGTCAGGAGCAGCTCGACGCCGCCAAGCGCAAGTACCTCGAGGCTGCGGAGGCCATTGGGGTCAAGCGGGCTCGGTCGTGCTCCTGAGCTGGACGCTGGAGAGGAGGGCCCTCCTCCAGTCAGTGGTGTGAAGGAGCAGTCCAGCTTGAATGCCTTCCTGAGGTGCAACATCCTGGACCATGACTGGGAGCAGGCCACGGGCTTCGCGGTGCCAGTCATGCGCGACGACCTGCTGTTCGACTCGATGCAGTCTCGCCAGCGCGACGGAACTTTGATGGAGTTGGACGAGAAGGATTGGCCCGTGCTCGGTTCCGCTTTGGCGAGGAGTACGTCGTCGTATCGATTGGGCAAGGGAGGGAGGGATTCAGCCCCTCGAAGTCACACTCCCTTGCCCGCATCGTCGATGGCTTCCAGTTCGAGCACGGCGACTTCGGCATCCTCGATGATCCCCCAACTGGCCCGCTCCTCGGGGTTGGGGGCAAGTGCAGCGCAGGAACATACTCCCCAACTGGCCCGCTCCTCGGGGTTGGGGACATGTGCAGCGCAGAGGCTACCGCCCCAACTGGCCAGCTCCTCGGGGTTGGGGGCATCTCCTAGCTGTGAGGCCAGACCTTCTTCGTGGATGGCATGCGCGTCGACGCAGACGGCTACGGCGGCGACGGCTGGTTCTTCGCGTGGCGTTAGGACGCAACAGTCGTCGCCGTCCGCCCTTCCCTCCCCCAGGGCACCCCTTCCACAGGAGGCGGGGGTCTCAGCGCGTGGGGAGGGGGGGGCAGGATGTTTTGCTGGCGCAGCATCCAGACGCTGAAGCGAGATTGGCTGGCAGTGTGCGTGGCCTCCTTCGTCCCCAAGTTGAGCCAGATGCGGATTCGAAAACACATTGGTTGAAATCCGACGGGAGGGCGGAAGTACCTCCCGCTCGTAATCTTCTTGCGGACGATCGTGTCTCTGGTGTAGCGCGGGGATCTGCAGACCTGTGCATTTTTGGAGCCAACGTCAACAGCTGGTCGACAGCGGACACTGTAGTGAACTGGGTCCGAGATCAAGCTGACGTCGGAGGATCTGGGGCGGAGTCTTGGGGTTTAGTCCAAAGCAAGTTCCAGGTGGTCACGCTCCAGGAGACAAGGTTGAAGTCCCCCGACAAGATCATCTCGGCCCAGAGTTGGGCCTGCAGGAATGGGCACCAGGTGTCTCTCGGGAAGGCCCTCAGCACTGGCGACGGGCCCCTGCAGAGCTCTGGAGGAGTCGGTATCTTGGTTGCTGGGGAGATCGCTTCGAGGCCCTTGGATCTTCCAGGTTTGGGCAGGTTCGACGGGAGGATCGTAGGTCGGGTCATCAACGCGGGGTTCGACCAGGGCCTTGAGATCTACAGTGTCTACCTCGTCAACGACATAGGCGTGACGGGCGAGAATTTAGAGCTTTTGGAAGTTCTGGGGGCGCTTCTTTTATGCAGTAAGCGCCCGTGGGTCGTGCAAGGTGATTGGAATTTCACGCCCGCGGCTCTCCAGCTATCAGGTTGGATACAGCATGTGCACGGTGTGCTAGCCTCTTCTGGCCAGGCAACCTGCTCGGCCTGCGCTCCTAGGACTGCCAGGGGAGAAGATATGGAGGAGGAGGAGCTGACGGAGCATGACGGGGGAGGAAGGGAGCTTGACTTCTTCGTCGTGTCATCGGCCATCAGTTCGTGCATCAAAGATGTCCAGGCTATCCGAGGAGCGCCTCTTTTTCCCCATTGCCCTGTGCTGCTTCGGTTGGGGAACCTCTGCCAGACGGCGGTAGTCCAGCAGCAGACGCGTTTCAAGCCGTTCAGCACCGCGCTCATGGGGCCTCTGCCGCAGGAAAGGGACATCCAATGGAGCGACCCTCTAAACTCAGATTTGAACACGCTCGCTCGGGAGTGGTTCGGGGTAGCCGAAGCTCGCCTGGTGGAAATTCATGGAATAAGTGATCAGAAAGGGTATGTAGGTCGCTCCGCTGGGCCCAAGTCTCGCAAAGTTCCCTTAGTGGCGCTGCTAGAGCGAGATCACCGCCGGCGTTTTTCGAAGCAGACTGTATGCTGGATCTCGTTCGAGGCCCTGCTCAAGAAGGCAAAGGCAATCAGTGCTGGGAACCCAGGTGCCAAGGGAAGAGCTCTTTGGGGATCCTGGAAGCTTAAGCTGTTCGACATTTTAGAGGACCTCCAGCTGACGGAAGATGGGCCCACTAAGGCCCAGTTGCACTCCATTGTTAGGGCGGCATCGGGAGAAGGTTCCTGGAACGACGACGTCAATGGGGCCATCTGCAAAGAGTGCACTCGTCGCCAGAGGCTGGATGCGGCTTCGCAGCTAGCTAAGTGGAAGGAATGGGCCAAGAGTGCCGTCTCTGGAGGTGGTAAAGCGGCGCATGCCTTCTCCAAGCAGCAGGTCTCGTGTGGTTTCTCGCGAGGTACGTCGGATGATCCTCGGCTTCCAGTGGCTGGTCAGGCCGCAGTGCAAGAGCTTGTCGATGCGTGGCACCCGATGTGGTTTCGAGCTGGCCGCGGGCCCGCACCGAGCTCCTGGGAAGTTCCTGCCGACGAGCCTGCCCTTTCCCCGCTCAGACTGGAGGATTTACATCGAGTTTGTAAGATGTACGGGCCCGCGGCGGGCCTAGGCTGGGATGGATTTAACCCGAGGTGGATTTTGCAGCTGCCCGAAAGTTACCAGTTTAGGCTCCTGGAGATTTTGACGCTCTTCGAGGTCGACCCTGGGGCCGTCGTGATGTTCCTGACCAATGTGGTTTTCTTGGACAAACCAACGGGAGGGGTCAGGCCGATCGGTTTGCTATGCCTTTTCACGAAGCTCTGGAGCCGATTGAGGCAGCCGTATTGCCGCTCATGGGAAAAGGCCCACGTGTACGAGTTTTTCTGGGGCTCAGGGCCCGACACAACGTGCGAGAGGGCCGGATGGGTCCACAACTTGCTCGGGGCGCATTGTCGTAAAGCAGGTTTCGAATCAGCGTCGGCTCTCTTGGACTTGGCTAAGTTCTATGAGAATGTCAACCACGGGGACCTCCTGGTTGCAGCTAAACGGTTTGGTTTCCCAGTCAGGCTGGTCAAAGCGTACTGTACCATCTATGCTGGCCACCGTGTGCTTCTTTACGGGGGAGCTTCGTCGGCCGTCGTCGGATCGAACGGGGCAATCGTGGCTGGGTGCTCGGGGGCTACGACGTTCGCCAAGATGTTGCTACTAGGACCGCTATTGGAGGCCCGTGAGAGCAGGAACTTGTTGTATGTGCGTAATGTGGTGGACGACATCACTGTTCAGTGTTGCGGGCCCAAGCATCAGGTGGCGGCCCAACTGGCTGGGGAGTAGAGTCTCTGATCAAGAGTTTCAAGCAGCTGCAGCTCCCTGTGGCGTTTAAGAAGTGTGCCTACCTTTGCTCGAAGGAGGTCGAGGCGCACCTGTCCAAGGCCTGGTCCCTCCCCACCTCTTGCCGCACCGACACGGCGAGGAATCTTGGGACCAACGCTACCTTGGGAGGCCTCCGCAGGATCGGTATTCAGAACTCAAGGTTTGCAGGTGCGTCGCGCAGGGCCAGGAGGCTCAAGATACTACAAGGAGCTGGAGCCGACATCGGGATGGTTCACAGGATGGGGCCAGTGGCATCGGCCCTATGGGGATCATCGGTCTCTGGGGTGGCCCCCACAAAAATGGCTGGGCTCCGTATCGGGGCTGCTAGTTCCCTAGGCAGGCTCCCTAAAGGTGCTTCGGTTGGGCTCAGGATGTACACGTACGGGCTTGGGGTCAAGGTAGACCCTCTGGTGGTTTACGTGGGGCACGTGCTTTTCATGTGGGCGACTGCTGTTTGGGAAGCTGTCCCTCACGTTCAGGTGTTGGCCAATACCATGAGGGTCTCGATCGCCAAGTTTCAGAATTCAGCTCAGCCCTGGAGGTCAGCGTCTTCCCCCAGCGACGTCGCGCTTTTAACGTTGCGGGGCATAGGCTGGGACTTTGTAGACCAGCACACCATCAAAGATGACTTGAACGTTGTGCATGACTTGCTCAGGCTCTCCCCGATGCAGGTCAGGTCTATGATCAGGCAAGGTGCTGTGCGAGCGTCAGATAGGCATGCCCTTCTCTTGCAGAATGGCCTTGATGGGCCACCTGTGTACCCTATCTTCTGGGATGGCATTTCCAGGATGTTCAAGGAGAAGTCCGAAACCTGGGGGAAGCACCATCAGAGATGTTTAAGAGGTTTGGTCTCGGGAGTTCACTGGCCCCAAGCCCGACTTCATGCTCACAACCTCCACGAGGATGATCTTTGTCAAGTGTGCAAGGGGGCCCCAGGTACATTGTGGCACCGTCAGTACGAGTGCCCTGCGCACGAAGCCCGGCGGCGAGACCATGCGAGTGCTCGCTTGTGTAGGTGTGCGCAGAGAGTGAAGCAGTTCGGGCCGCTCATGGCGGAGAGGTTCGCGAGGTGCATCTTTCCTCACCCTCGCTCGCTCTTCGACGTCGAGGAGCCCACGCTAACAGTTCACTGGCACGAGAGGCCCGAGACGGGGCGTTTGACGGGGTTGTTATTCCTGGACGGGTCGGCCAAATACATGGGCCTCGATGGACTCACTCGGGCTGGTTGGAGTATCGTATCGGTCGACAGGTTTGGGGAGTTGCTCTCGGCGGCCTATGGTCCAGTTCCTCTGAGTGCGGCCCCGCAGCAAACTAGTAAAGATGGGGAAGACTATGCTGTATATATGCTTACGCAAGTTGGTCTTCCCCCGTTTCAATGCTATATTGATTGCCAGAGCACTCTGGATTCGCTGTCTCGGGGCCCTGGGTTCGCGGAGGGCCCTGGAGCCCCCCGCGGTCATCTTTGGGGCCCCGTGTGGAGCTCGTTCACTCTCAGCGATTTCGAGTGCTTCAAGACGCTCGGCCAGACCACGGCGGCCGATGTCGAGGCGGGCAGGAGCAGTGTTTGGGAAAGACGGGCCAATGGGCTCGCAGATAAGTTCGCCAAACTAGGAGCCGAGTGTCACGGGGTCAGCGACGAAGAGGCCAGCCTGTACAGAGGCCTCAAGTGCCTCGCCCGCGAGGCCTGCAGGTGGGCTGGATCGGTGGAGGTACTGATGTCCAACGGGCCCCGTGACACTACAGGCCTAGTGCCCAGGTCGACAGGCAGCGATGGCCAGGGGCAGCACTCACAAGAGGTTGAGGCCCTCGGCCAGGCCCTGGGCGACGATCAAAGGGAGGTGGGAGGTTCTTCGGACTTGGGGGAGGAGTGGCGTTCATTCTCTCGGCAAGTTTTTCGGGCCAACGGCCATGCTTTTTTGGCCAGCCCTGTCATTGAACCTCCTGGAAACCCCAGGGGTAGGATCCAATTTTGTTGTCGGTGCGGATCGTTTTTCTCTGGGGCTCCCAATGCCGGAGCTAAAGGCCTGTGCAGGCCCAAACTCACGACGGGAGGAATTAATGACCAGCTGAGAAGGATTCGGCAGGGCAAGTTTCCCTCGTATAAGAAGGACCTGAAGAATTTGACTCTGGGGGCTCATGAGAGCCTGAGCCTCGCCGAGCAGAGGGTCTTGGCTCAGTCGCTGGTAGAGGATGGCCAGGCCCCCCAGGGAGTTTCAGGTCCTGTGAATGTCGGTTCCGCGGAGGGCTTCGCCCCGCGAGAGCAGGTGTTGGATTCGTTCGGCCTGTCCGAGTCGGATTTATCCTGGGTCAAGGACCTAGGGGCCGCCTCCCTCCGAGCCTCGGACTGCGGTTTCGAGTCAGACTCGGAGGCCTCCGATTTTGGCTGAACGAGGAGGTGCTCTGGCTTTAGGCCCGTCCCCAACAACCTCCTCCTCCTCCTCGTTCTCCTCCCCCCTCCTCCCTGCCCCTCTGTCCTCCCTCCCCCCTCTCCCTGCCCCTCTGTCCTCCCTCCCCCCTCCGTCCTCCCTCCTCCCTGCCCCTCTGTCTCTCGTACCCAGACCTATCGTTTTCGTTCGTGTTCGTGCTGTGCACCCCGCCACACATTTCGGCACGCCACAAGGTTCGTGGCCGCATAGGGAGCGCCGCCAAAAACGAGGCTCACAATTGCGGTACTGACAGCTGCATCTGCTTGGGTCCTTCGCCGGGCAAATTCCCCAATCAGAGATTGCCCCTGTAGGGGTCCCAGCGGATTCATATGGTTAGGTGCGGTATGGCGCCGATTTCAGCGGCACGCCCGGGTGCCTGGGTGCCCAGGTGCCTGGGTGCCCGGTAGCCCTAGAGTCCATAGCCCTATAGCCTTATAGTCTTATAGCCCTATAGCCCTATAGCCCTGTAGCCCTATAGCTCTAAAGCCCTATAGCCCTACAGCCCTGTAGCCCTATAGCCTTTTAGCCTGAAAGCCCTATAGCCCTGTAGCCCTATAGCCCTGTAGCCCTGTAGCCATATAGCCCTATAGCCCTATAGTCCTATAGCCCCATTTCCCTATAGCCCCATAGCCCCATAGCCCTGGAAAGATTATGATTGGGGCTTTTCTCCGGTATCATGTTCTTTCGTGTTTACGTGCTTTCTTACGGTCACGCCGTGCGGGACACTCCCGCTGCGGCACTCCTTCTGATGCGTGCTGATCGCACACACGCACCGCTCGGACAGCTTCCCGCATCCGCCACGAGCACCATGCCGCTGTCCGGACGCTCCAAAGCAAGAAGAAAGCAGAAAGCAATCGCACCGCAAGCCAGAGGAGGAAGAGGATGGAGGAAGAGAACGATGGTGATTCTGCTCGTGCTCATCCTCCTCCTGTTCCCTTTTGAGGTCTTCCCCTCCTCCTCCCCACCCTCATCATCATGGTCATCATCTTCCTCATTACCAGCACCATCATCCTCATCATGAAAAACATCATCCACACCTTCATAACCATCATAATCAGCATCAGCATCAGCATCAGCATCATCATCAGTATCATCATCATCATCATCATGAGCAGTATCATCACCAGCATCAGCATCTGCATCAGCATCATCATCATAGTTATCGTCACGCATCATGATCATCATCATCATCAGCAGCAGCATGATCATCGCTACCGTCCTCCAACTTATCCTCATCCACCTCATCCTCATCATCATCATCATCATCATCATCATCATCATCATCATCATCATCATCATCATCATCCCTCTTCCTCTTCCTCCTCATCCTCCTCCTCATTCTCCTCACTCCTCCTCCTCCTCCTCCTCCTCCTCCTCCTCCTCCTCACTCATCTTCCTCCTCCTGCCCGCTCCCCCCATGCTGCTGCGCTGGCGCGCCTCGACGGCATGCCCGTTCGCACTGCCGCTGTATTTCACGACGGTGTTCTGCAGCTTCTGGACGACCTGGAGGGAACATACAGGAGGAGGAGGAGGAGGAGGAGGAGGAGGAGGAGGAGGAGGAGGAGGAGGAAGGAGAGGGGCGAGGAGGAGGGGGAGGAGGAGGTCGGGGCCCTTGGCGCCCAGGGACACCCAGATCACACAAGCACGAGCCCGGAGGTGCCCCGGGTGCTCCCTCGGAGCCCTGCGCCCCTGGCACTCCCGCGCCGGGGTCGCCGCAGCGTCGGCACGACGCGCGCCGACGCGACACGACGCGCGCGGTCAAGATACCGCAAAGAGCGCGGGAGAAGGAGCGAAACCCCAGCGTCGCGGCGAGCGAAAGCTCACGACCCCCCAACCCAGCAGGTAAGAGCCGAAGCAAGGATCACTACGTATAAACGCTGTTGGGGGACGGATATGCAGAAATCAACATGTGTAAATGTATGTGTATATATACCGTACAAGCGTGTTCATACACGTGTAAATCAAAAGGTGCACGCGTGGCTTCGCCGGCGTGGGCCCAAAACAATGCGTTCTAGAATACTACGTGGTGCAACGCATGCGGTGCAACCTACGCGGTGCAGTATAAGGGGTGTCTTTAAATTTCTGTTCACAATGAGTTGTAATTTACACTGCTCGCGCAACCATCCCATCCATCCACCCGCACCTCGGTTTACATAAACCCATGGGGCGACGACTGCAATGAGTGCTCGGCATTGACGGATGCATCTCTGCGGCCGCGCTAATCCGCGCATGCTCGCGCGCGGAGCGACCAGCTACTTTGGCGCGACCGACGCGGCCGGTGCGGCAGTGGCCGGTGGGCAGTTCCCAGCGGGCACTCCAGTGCGTGTCAGCGACTTGGGCGGGCGCGGTACCACGGCAACGCCGACACCGATAGACACGAGGATGATAGTAACGATGCTGGTAAAACTTATAGTTGTGTTAAATAACAGAAACGCGAGGGTTGGATTTGTGTCCAACAATGGCGTTGCAAGAATACGTGTTTAATTTGATTTGGGGACTCTCGATTTTCAAATCCTGGCAAAAAAAAAGAGTTTGAAGATTCTGGCGCACTTCGTCCCATGTGTTGCAAGGAGCTCTTGCGACAGCACGCGCGCAGGGGCGCTCGAACGAATTCGACATGCGCGCGCGAGAGGCCCGTTTGGTAGCAGGCTTACAAAATATCGAGCAACATATGACTTTCTTAAGACGTCGCAAGAGCGCGGGCGCAAACTTTGTTTTGAACCTTCCTGTTGCGAAACCAGGTGCTGGTACATGCTTCGGGACACTCGCTTTCTGAAATCCCTCCGCAGCCACAGAACGGTTTTTGCCGGATTCCGGCACGCGCCGCCCCGCAGGAGAGGCGGAGGGCCTGACGGCTCCGAGCCCAGCTGGACGGGCGCACCGCGATGCCAAAGAAGTGGTCGCCCAAGACGACGCCCTCCCAGAGTGAAGGGGCCCTGGGACACACAAATAAATACACACAAATAAACAGATTCCCCATATTTTCGCATATTTTCCGGGTTTTTGTCTTCCCCCCCACTTCCCATATTTTCCCACATTTTCTGGGGAATCGACGATTAATTGTGTCTGTGTGTTTCTTTCCCTCCTGAAAGACGACACCCTCCCAGAGCCCGCCCGCGGGCGGGAAAGGCGCTGGCTCCGCGAGCGGCTCGCCGGGGAGAGAAGCTCCCCGCAGGGGCCCGCAGCTGCACGAACGGGCCTCCCAGGCCGAGCGCCCGGGCCGTGGAGACCACCCGTGAGGAGGCCGCCGTGGCAACGCAACACCGCATCAGGAATCGACTGCGCGCAAGAATTTGTTTTTTCTTTTACGGTAGTCTTTCTCCGCATGTTTCACTCCGGCGGTCGTCGCAGATTGCACCGAGTGGGACGAGGTGTGTGTTGCTCATCGATGGTTCGCCGCCTCCCCTCTGCCTTCCCTCTCCCTCTCCACAAAAAAAAAAAAAAAAAAAAAAAAAAAAATCGACTGCGCGCAAGAATGACCCTGGGTAAGAGTGACCTTTGGTGCGCGGCTTCTGGGGGGGCCGCGGGGGAACCAAACACAGGTGCGCAAAACGCCACTATCGCCCCGCGCTCGGTGATCGGGGGACCCCGGCTGGCACGCACCAAAGGTCGCTCCGGCCAAGGGTCGCTCTGACGTGTAGTCGAAGGAAGGGGGCCGCCTTCGCGCCGAAGACGGGCTTTCGAGCGCTTCAGAGCGGCGAAGCCCTCGCAGGCTCCTGGCGGCCCCGGATGCGCGATGCCGCTGGCGCGCGCCACCTCAATGCTGCACCGACGAGGATGGGGCAGGGGACCCCCGCAGCGAGCCGCGTTTGGGAGAGCGCCCCTTCTCTGCGCCGCCTTGCGGCGCTGCGAGCGCGCGCGCTGTCCCCCCTCCCCCCTCCGTCAGCCCAGCATGCCCAGCCCCACCCTGCCCAAGGCTGGGGCAGGCTAGAGTCGAAGGCTGGGTAATAATCCTGCAGGTCGTCGGTCCAAATCCTCACCGAATTGGACCTCGGGACCTCCTGGTCGGCCGGCGCGGGCCCACTCGGCGCCCCGCGTGAGAAGCCTTGCAAGGGGGGGCTCTGCAGCGTTCTGGGCGATTCGGTCGAAGGCCACCCGCTGCGTGCGCGCGTCCTTGGGCACAGGGAATAGCGTGCCAGGGCGCGTCTGATCAGGCCCCGCCGTCGGGAAGCTTCGGGCGCCGACGAGCTCCAAGCGGCCAGCCTCGCCCCGCTGCAGCGGGCACTGCAGCGGGTCAGCTCGGCGGCCTGCCTGCCGGGCGCTGCGACGCAGGCGCCAGCCGAGCCGGCAGGCCAGCCGCGGCCGAAGGGGCGGGGGCCCCGGGCCCGCTCCTCGCCAGCAGCCGCGGCTTCAGGAAGCAGGCCGCCGAGGACTCGCCCAGGGACGGCGCCGGTTCGAAGTGGCAGTCCTCGTTGCAGAAGGGCGCGCGGTCGGGGTCGACGCGCCTCGCCGGGGCCTGGCCGAACGGAACTTCGGCTCCAAGCGGCGACCGAGCCGCGCCGATGATGCACTGGAGGAGAAGATCAGCCTTCCCCACGCGCCCGCCACCCCATGGGGTCGGGCGACACGTCGGCTGCGTAGACCGCATCCGCCTGCATACCACGCCCTGCTGGGCAGAGCTGAGCTGCCTCCCCGCGCGGGCACGCGTCGGGCAGTGCCGGGCCTCGCCCAGGTGCAGGTGCGACAGGGCGACAGGGAGTGCCACGGCGTTCACCCACATGCAGGCCGCACCCAGCCTTCGCTCCGCCCCATTCAGCGCCACCGTGTCCTTGGCGCACGCGGTGGTGGCGCTGGCCCGGCCGGGCTCCGCCAGCCTGGGCAGCGGGCGGATCTGGCTGCGGAGGGGCGGGCGGCGAATGCTGCCCCAGTGCGGCTCGGGCAGGCACGTCATCAACCACGCCGTCGCCCAGTTCCACTCCCGCATCGCCGCCTGCTGAGAGGCGAAGATCCGCAGGGCCAACTGCGCCTCGGCCGCCCCGGCGGCGGCGCGCCGCGCCTCGCGCTCCATCAGGTCGAACACCTCCGCCGTGCCGAAGACCAGGAAGGCTGCTGTACTCGGGCATTGGCAGGACTGGGTTGAGTGGGATCTGGTTTAGTGATGTGCGATTGAGGACGCCTCCCCCGCCCCCCATTCCACCAACCAGAACTGCCGTCACCCGACAAGCACAAGCTACGGCAGACCTGGTTTAGTGATTCTGACCAATTTGAAGGGCTTCAGGGCCCAATCACTGACTGGCTCCCCTTACCCAGGGTCTTGGCTGTACCCGACGCACGCGCCAGGCCGAAGGGACGCTCCGGGTGAAGTAGTTCCTGGTCGAGTCGCCCACGCCCTGCTCGCCCACCGCTCCGCCCATATTCCCCAGGTGGTTCCTGCACACTGCCGCCGATATCGCCTGGGGCTGCAGCTGCAGGCGACGGCGGAAAGCCTCCAGGGCCGTCCCGCCGCGCGCGCTGGAGCGCGTCGAGGTGCTGCTCCCGCCAAAGAGCTCGCTGGTGGCGTCGTCGGAGAGGCAAACGTAGTCCGTGGAGGCCTCTGCCATGCCCGGGCACATCGAGCCGCGGTCCTCGCTCCCTCACGGCACGGGCCAGGGGCTGGCCGCAGCTGGGCGGAGCAGGCGCTCGTCGCGGGAAGGCTCCCAGGGGGAGGGCGTCGCTGGCAAGGGCCCCAGCGATGCCCGCAGGGGCTGGGGGCGGAGCATCGGTCCAATGAACCCTCAGCACGGCCAGGTAGGGGCACGTGCCGGCTGAGCCGCGACGCGGCGGGGCTTCGTGAACGGGTTCAGCGCCGTCGCACGGCGTCGAGGCGGGGGCCTGGCTACAGCCAGCGCTGCCGAGATGGCTCCGGCCTGCTTGGCGCCAGCAGGCCAGGCGCGCGTCCCGCACACCGCAGCCCGCTCCCCAACGCAGAGGAAGCTGGAGGGGCCGCTGATGCCGCTGCTGGCAGGGGAGCCACGATGCTGGGAGGGCCCCTGGGGGAGCTGACACTGCCAGGCGCATCGTCGTCGTCGTCGGCGGCGGCGGCGGGCGGGCGGGCAGGCCCCGTGGGATCCCACTGGCTCCAGGGAGTGCCGGCGGGTGGCCGGCCTTGGCGCCTCCAGGCGACGCATCGGCGCGCCCTGCCCGTCGTCCCGCCGCTGCAGCAGCTCGGCCTGAACCGCCGCCTGGGCCTTCTTGCGAGCCGAGCGCCTCGGCACGTCCGTCTTGCCCCGAAGTGCGCTCGGACGCGGGGCCGCAGTCGGAGCCGCCGTCGGGGCTGCACCAGCAACTCGGGCGGGTCTCGGCGCCCGCCGGCTGCGGCGTCGCCTCGCCAGGCCAGCCGCCAGAGCCAGCCGCGATGCCCTCCTCCTCCGGCGGCCCGAGGGCCACGTTCAACATCTCCCGGTGCGCGCGAAGATCGAGCTTGGGCCCGATGCCTGCCCAGCGTGCAACGAGTAGCGAGGCATCCCTCTCTTCCTCTCTCTCTCTCTCTTGCTGCTAGGTCTTGCTTGCTCCGGCACTGCAGACGTCAGTGCTCGCAGTGTTCGGGTGAGGAGAGCAGATGAGGTTGGAGCGCGGGGGGCTGAGGAGAGTAGACGAGGAGAAAGAGCATGAGGAGGAGAGCAGAAGAGGATAACGAGGAGTCAGAGGCGGAGGCAGATGTGATGTGATATGGGAGCGAGGTTGTACCACAGGAGGAGTGCAGATTAGTGGTGGGAATGGTTTTCTGCACCCGACGCGTGGCAGGAACGCGCCTTGTTCACTTTGTGTAGCTTCTCGTGATCGTGCTCTGTAATGGCTGCCAGCCTCTTGGTCAGCGTCTTGGCGACCTCAGGGCACATATCTGGGTGAACCGATCTGGCAGCCCAACAGCGACGGCAGCAGCCACAATCTCCCCCCCCCCGCGGTACCCCACCTTGTCTCCCGTCCTCGATCATGACCCCCTGTCGGGGACCTCTTCTCACACGCCGCGCAAGACAATCTTGACCTGGGCAGCTTGTGAAGGACACCGCGATCAACATCGGGCAACCTCGGGAAAACCCGTGGACCCAGACCTCCGAGGACTCGACCGCTGCGGGTCGCCACTCCCCAGACCCCAGACCGCTCGACCCCTTCCCCGGTGCTGGCTTCTCGTGCCAGGTCGCGTTAGCAGCACTGGGTTTAGTGGGACCTGGTTTAGTGATGTGTACAGTCGGGGCGTTGACCCAAGGAACCCTAAATAAAGAACGAGGCCCCTTTTTCCCATAAGTTACACTTCGATCTCCCATGGAAAACCTCATGAAAACCTAAGGCAAGCTGTAGAACAATCAAGGAGCACCGAGCCCCTCCCCAACGAAAAGGGTTCCTTCTTCAGCGCCCCGACTGTACGGAGGGACGCCCCCCCCCGCCCCGTTCCACTAACCGGAACTGCCGCCACCCGCGAAAACACCAGCTACGGCAGACCTGGTTTGGTGATTCTGGCCAGCTCAGGGGCTCCAGGGCCCTACACCCTGCGAGATGCCTAAGAAATCATGGGTTAAGAAATTCATAGTCTCAGAACTTGAACAAAAACCCAAGATTTCTATCAAAATCTTAGGATTTACATTGAAACGTTAAGAATAATCGAGACTCTGGCCGAAAACTTAAGTTTTCTTAAGCATCGCCTGAGGTGTACTACGAACCCAGTCCCCTTACCTCGGGTCCTGGCTGCACCCGGCTATTGCCGGCCCCTGGGCACGCAGGCGAGCGTACGGACCCCGGCCCCGGGGACCGAGAACGGCGAGCAGCCTCCGCCCTGCGCTTTGTCAAGACAATGGACGCCGGGGACCGGGGGGCAAAAACAAATCACGCCAGAGAAAAGCCCCAATCAGTAGGTGGTTTGACATGGGATCGATAAAGAGATCGATGAGCAGATCGACCGGGAACCCGGGAACCCGGGAACCCTGAACCCACCGAAATCGGACCGGCACCAATGACCAGGGGCCCGGGAACCCAGAACTGGGGACCTGGGAACCCAGACCCCCGACGTCATGATTTTTTCATTACGCGACCCCCAAAAAGGTCTGGACCCATTCCCTGGGACCAGTTTTTCGTCCCGAGCCGTTTTTTGACGGTCCCGAGGGCCGGCAAGGGCCCCCAGAGGCCGAAAATAATGAAAAACCTCCCGTCGTGATTGTTTCGCGACTCGAGGGGGTCTGGGAACCCAGCCGGCCACCAAAATCGGCGGGGAACTTTCGCCAACTCGTTCGATTTCCGCGAGGACCCCGTCAGGGCAAGCGCTGGCTGGGGAACCACTCCCCTCCTCCCTCCTCCCTCCTCCCTCCTCCCTCCTACCTCCTCCCTCCTCCCTCCTCCCTCCTCCCTCCCTCCTCCCTCCTCCCTCCTCCCTCCCTCCTGCTCCTGCTCCTGCTCCTGCTCCTGCTCCTGCTCCTGCTCCTGCTCCTGCTCCTGCTCCTCCTCCTCCTCCTCCTCCACCTCCACCTCCACCTCCACCTCCTCCTCTCCTCCCTCCTCCTCCTCCTCCTCCTCCTCCTCCTCCTCCTCCACCTCCTCCTCCTCCTCCGAGAGAGAGAGAGAGAGGCCGCCGCCCGCCCCGAGCAGCGCTTCTCCGACCCCCCTCCCCAGCGGCGGGGCCCGGGCCCTGCACTGGCCGATCTGCCCCCCTGGATGGGAATGTAGGCCGCTCCCTTCGGCCTTCGAGGGGCGTATCCCCAATCGGGGTGGTAATTTGGTGGAGGTCTCAAAATAGGGCGACGAAATCTATACATATCCACTGCTCCCAGGCCAGGCCCATCCTCAACCCCGCAGCGGTGTATACGCCACGCCCTCCTGGCTTGGCCAGGAGGGCGCAAACACAGCTCCTGGGTTCAAGATGGGCCTGGTCAGGGAGCAGTGGATATGTATAGATTTCGTCGCCCGATATCCCGAATCGGGGTGGTAATTTGGTGGAGGTCTCAAAAGGGACGAGGATGGGGATGGGGGTCGGTCAAACGATATTCATCCTGGCGTCGCCGGCCGCCCGAGAGAGGCGGCCGCTCCGGGCAGCCCCGCGGGGGCAGCACGGAGGGCGCCCGCGACGCGGTCGAGCTTGACCGGAGAGGGCGCGCAAGAGGGCGCTCGGCGGCGAGCCCGGGGGGGGGAAGGTTCGGGAGTTTCGGGCTCGAGGTTCGAGATTGTTTTCGGGCGTCGCCGTCGGTTCTCGGCAGTTTTCCAGCCTCGGGATGCGCTCCGGCGGCTGCGCCTCGCCGAGGGCGTTCCAGGGGTGCCTGGATCGCCTCGAATGGTCACAGGAGAGCCGAGTTATGGCCGAAAGACCACCAGGCGTCCGAGAGGGGGCGGGCCTCCTCAGAAGGCTCGGAAGTCCCCTGGCCTTCTGTGAAATGTTATGAGCCTTTCTCGAAGACACGGAAAACCTCTCGGAAGGCCCGAGGGCTTCTGAGAAGTCCAGCGGCCCTCTGAAAAGGTCTTATCCTTGTCGTTTCCCCCCTCGCTCGCCGCCGAGACAGAAGACCTCTCTGAGGACCACATTGCCATAGGAAGGTAGAAGGCATGGGTGGCGAAACACAGGGCACAAGGGTACCCTTGATCTGGCAGGGTTGACCCACTGATGAAAAATAGGCTGTAATCCTCACGACCTGTTCATGGTGGTAGTCACCCGAGACGGTGCGCGTGCGCGTCCTTACCACTCCCGAGGATATGTTAACCCGTCGACGGGGGAGGGCTGACTCGGGGAAGGATACTATCAAGACACTGAAATAACGGTCAGCTCGGACTCTGAATGAGCTCGTTGTTCCTTACGTCCTTCCATGTGTGTTTCCCTTGCGCTGCTCGTGCACCCCAGACGCTTCTGGGGCAAAAGGGGGCTTCGTTGCTCATGTAGCGCTCCTTTTGGAACTATATGAACTGTACATGTCATGCCGTGTCGACGGTTGTCGTGTCGACACGGGCGGCGACCCCGGCGCGGGCGTGCAAAGCTGAACGTCGCCAGTGGCCTGGAATCGATCAATACCGAAAGATCCCGCCTGTCAGAAATTGATGATCGTTGAAGGTCGAATGATCTACAGGGTGGCAGAAGCCGACTGGAATCGGTCGCGCGTCGAGGGCCGACTCGGGGGAGTGCTGGCTCCGGGGTGGAAGCAGCTAGGATGGGGGGGGGTCCGGGGGGATGGGCCAGCTCTCGGATGCCAGAAGGGGGCTGGCCGGCTCAGGGGAGGGCGTGGTCCAGGGGACTACCCATTGAGGCTACAAACCCAGTGGAGGTCCTCCTCCTCCCCCTCCTTTTCCTCCTACTCCTCCTTATCCTCCATCCTCGTCCTCATCCTCTTCGTCCTGCTCGTCCTCCTCGTCCTCCTTGTCCTCCTCCTCCTCACGAAACGTCGATCTGGAATCGGTGATGCGTCACCGATGTCGGCGGCAGGCCCCCGAGGGCGAAACCGCACGCTCTCTGGGCAGCTTGGGGCATCCACGACCCGATCGGCAGGCCTGCGAGAGAGCGGCCCGGTTGACCACGTCAGGCCAATGAAAATCTGCATCGCTGACAAAAGCTGGCAGCCATTGCGTCGATTGCCGTCCTGCGCAGCCAGCCCGAGACGGTTGTCTTCAGAGCATCATCAGGCCATGGCAGACCCCAACCCTCTGCCTCTGCATGGTTGAACTTGACGTGCTGGCCATAGATACTGTCTCGCACAGGGCCTGAGGAAGCCTTACACGATCGGCAAGAGGCCACTAGCGAATCATCGACACGCCAAACCTGAGCAACCTGCTCCGCACCAGCCCGTGCTCCGTCAAAAGGCGCACAAAAACTCAACTCGCTGCGGCACGCTTTCTTCGTCCGCGGCCAAACTGCGTTCGTCGTGTGTCGGCGCTGCCTGAACGCATGCCATCAGATGTGCGACTCGCCATGCAGCACGGATTGCCGACTGGAACAGCGGTTGGGGCAATCGTCCACGAAGAGCTGCGTCCTTTCTTCAAACGAGGCATGGTGGACTTTGGCTCGAGTGCACCCGTACCACTTCCCTGGCCAAGTGCGCACACAGATCGAAATAGCCACATCTTTACTCCACCAATAAATGATTGCACTTCGGAATTCTGATTTGTTTTACTCGGGAGCCGTGTTTTACGCAGGAATGGTGGCCGCCCCGTGGCCGTGCGTGGCCGCCCAACAAAGCTTGCATCACATATCTTGCACAGCATATCTTGCACCTCCTAGCGTGCACCACGTAGATTGCACTGCGGAACTTGCACCACATGGCTTGCACCACATAGCTGGCACCTCCCCGCCTGCGCCACATCCCTTCCACCACGCACCCTGCGCTGCATAGATTGCACGTCATAGCTGACACCACGTGGCGTGCAACCACGTAGCTCACACATCCACGGCACAAAAACCCACACCTCACCGAGGGCTCGATGTGGGTGCCGAGGAACCTCAACGCTGCCGCCCGTGGCCGCTCCTGTGGCCGCCTCGTGCGCTGGGGCGTGGCAGGCGAGGTCTCGCCGCGCTGCCTCCCGTGGCCACCTCTACCCTGCACCGCGTACAGTGGGCCGCACGTCGAGGTTTCGCCGCATCGCCGCCCGTGGACGTCTCGTGGCCGCCTCGGGGTCCATTCACGATAGCTTGCACCACATAGCTCACACAACGCAGCCAGCACCACACAGCTCGCACCACACATCTTACACCGTGGCTCACGCCACATAACTTACATAGTGCAGCTGAGCTTAGCTTGTTATGCCATGTTGTGCTCGTGCGTATGAGAATGTAGAAGAACTGGTTTGTTCTGCTATGCCAAGATGTGTTTTCTTCTACTATGCATTCACATCTGTTCAATATGCATTCTAACAAATCCGTCAAATACCTTGCGGGTTTGGGGGGGGCTGGTCCCCGGAGCCGCCAGAGAGCCCCGAAACGGCACAAGAGCCCCCCAGAAGAGCTCCGAAACGGCCCAAGGAGGCCCCGAGACGACCAAAAACAGCTCCGAGATGACCAAGAAGGCCCTCACCCAAGGCGCTCCCCAGACGGCCCCATAGGCCGCCAAGACGCCCCTGGACGGCTCCGAGGGGACACCCTAGAGTGCCCCAAGAGGCCAAAATCGTAGATTTCCGACGGATTTCCTACGGATTCTGAGATTCTCGCACTCTCAGTCTCAAACGTCTGGACACCCAAGACGGCCCAAGAGGCCTCCAGGATCGCCCCGAGAGGGCCCAAGACGCGCCCAAGACGCGCCCAAGAGAGCCCCAAGACAGCCCCGAAGACAGCCCACGAGGGGCACAAGGGGGGCCAAAGACGCCCCCGAGACGGCCCAAGAAATCTCCAAGAGGCCCCCAAGACGGCCCAACAAGCCCCCAAAAGGCCCCCAAGACAGGCCAAGGGGGCCCCGAGTCTGCCCCAGGGGGGCCTCAAACGCCCCAAAAGAGCCCCAGGAAGACCCCCAAGAGGGCCTGGAGATGCGAAAATCATCGATTTCATCGCACACCGCAGCTTGCTGACATTTGCGCGTCAGAGACAGATGTCGGAAAGCTTCGACGCACACAGCGCCGTGGATTTGATCCACGGGTCCACACTAGTCTTACCAGATATTTCCCCAAACAGTGCTTGTACTTAGTGGTTCTTACGCATGTGACTCAGGAATTGGATGGGCTCGGAGAGCACCTTCCACGTTGCCGCCCGTGGCCGTCTCGTGGCCGCCTCGTTCGATGGGTGGGTCCGGCGAGGTTTCGCCACGTTGCCGCCCGTGGCCGCCTGCCTTGTGCGCTGGGAAGGGCGAGGTTTCGCCACGTTGCAGCCAGGGCCGCCTCGTGGCCACATCGTGCGCTGGGTTGGTCCGGCGAGGTTTCGCCACGTTGCCGCCCGTGGCCGTCTCGTAGCCAGCTCGTTCGCTGGGTGGGTCCAGCGAGGTTTCACAACGTTGCCGCCCGTGGCTGCCTCGTGGCAACCTCGTGCGCTAGGTGGGTCTGGCGAGGTTTCGCCACGTTGCCGCCCGTGGCCGCCTGCCTTGTGCGCTGGGAGGGTCCGGCGAGTTTTCGCCACGTTACCGCCTCGTGGCCACCTCGTGGGCTTGTTGGGTCCAGCGAGGTTTCGCCACGTTGCAGCCAGGGCCGCCTCGTGGCCGCCTAGTGCGCTTGGTGTCTGGCGAGGTTTCGCCATCTTCCAAGATTACACTGCGTATCTTGCCCCATATAGCTCACGCCGCATAACTTTCACCTGCATCGCTCGCACCACATAGCGGACACGACATAGTTTCCACCACAAACATTACACCGCATAGCTTCCACCTCCACAATGCCATACCGTACTTTTGTGGCTCCGCACTGGCTATCACATAGGTATATACATGATATATCCATATATGTATGTATACATAGATGTACAAGTAGACACGCATAACATAAAATGATGCGCTCTTCTGGCCCACACCAAGCGAAAACTGACAGAAGCAGTTGCCTCTCCAGAGATATTCGCACGTACATGCGGAGCACGTCCGTATGCAACAAGCAACTCTCTGACACGGCTTCCGTAATGTTATACCACGAGCCTCGAGGTCTTCCGAAGCCTGCATGCGACCAACTAGCCCCAAGCCTTGAACAGACCTACCAGATCATGGTGGTTCACAGCAAATACATGGACCTGCCATCTTGCGCTGTCCTACTGACCACAACTTGACGCCCTCGCCATGTACAAGCACTGGGGGCACCAGAATTTCCAACACACGTACTGCAGAATGCAGACTTGAAAATTGGAAAGCATCGTTGCAAGTCAAGTGAAATAATTCGACATATAATGCAACATCGGTGTCGATTACATTACACTGCCGGGCCATTGACTGCCCATGCCCAAACCCCTTGTCTGTGTCATCTTAGATCACCACTCCTGCCTGGCCCGCATCAGACAAAGGTTGCGCGTGAAAGGTATGCTCGAATGTGGGCTGAACAGAAGCACCTTTACGAAAATAGCTCAAGGAGGAAGAGCAGGAGGAGGAGGGAGAGGGGTCCAAGGAGGAGGAATGGAGGCGGAGGTGGAGGCGGAGGCCGAGGAGGAGGAGGCCGAGGAGGAGGAGGAGGAGGAGAAGGTCAGGGGGAGGATAGGGAAGGAAAGGGGAAGGGGACGGGGACTGGGACAGAACGGGGACGGCAAGGGAGGGGAACGGGAGGGGGTGGGAGTGGGCGCAGAGAAAGGAGGAGATGTGGAGACGGGACGAGAAACGGGAAACAAAGGGGAAGGAAGGGGGTGGCAAGGGCGGACAGGGGAGGACGGGGGAAAACGTCGGAGGACGGCGGAGGATGGGGAAGAACGGGCACGGGCGGGGGAGCACGAGAAGGAAAAAGAGGAAACGGAGAGGAGAGGAAACGGTACTCGAAAAAAGGAGGTCTTAGGAGAGGAGAGGAGAGAAGAGGAGAGGAGAGGAGAGAAAAGGATGATTAGGAGGGGAAAGGAAAGGGAAGGAGGCAAAGGAAAAGGCGGAGGGGAGGCGGAGGAGGAGGAGGGCTGGGGGTCACCATGACACTATGCGCATCACCACGGCCGCGGCGTGGTAGAGCTCTTCGTGCCCCCTCTCCCCCACGCGCTGGACGACAAAGCCGTGTCTGTAACCCTTGAGGATCTGCATTGGCAAGAGAAACCTCGGTCTCGCACGGCATGGGCCGACGGGGGGACGAGCGACGGAAGGGGGGAAGAGCGTGAGAAGTCAGGGGGGGATTGAGAACGCGGAGGACGGAAAGAAGGCGAGGGAGGAGGAAGAGGAGGAGGTGCAGGAGAAGGAAGAGGAGGGGGGAAAGGGACGAGGAGAGGGGGAAGAGGAGGAGGAGGAGGAGGAGGGGGAGGAGGAGGGGGTGAAGGAGAAGGAGAAAGTGAAGGATGAGGAACGGCAGAGGAGGAGGAGAAGGAGGAGGAGGAGGAGGACAGGGAGAGGGAGAGGGAGAGGGAGGAGCAGGAGGCGGAGGAGGAGGCGGAGAGGGAGCAGAGGAGGAAGCGGAGGAGGAAGCGGAGGAGGAAGCGGAGAGCGAGGAGGTGGCGGCCGAGGGGGTGGAGCTCGGCCGCATGCCGCCGAGGTGCGCGAGAGCGCGGGCCCAGCGCGCCGTAGCCTGCGCTGCGTAGGGCGCGGCTCTAAGTGCAATTATAGCGCTGTCGGCGGCACGTGGGCCTAATTACGGGCGGTCGGCGGCGGACCCCGCGCCTGCCCATCACGCAGCCCGTATAGCGTGTTGGCTCGGAGATCGAAAATGCTTGTTTAGCGCTCTCGTGGCTCCCCTCTCCCCGTTCCCCCCTCCCCTGCGGGAGGAGTGGCGGCATCGGGAAGAGAAGGCGGAGAACACAGGAGAGGGAGGAGGAGGAGGAGGAGGAGGAGGAGGAGGAGGAGGAGGAGGAGGAGGAGGAAGAGGGAGGAGGAGGAGGAGGAGGAGGAGGAGGAGGAGGAAGGAGGAGGAAGAGAAAAAGGGGGAGAAGGAGGAGGAGGAGGCGGAAAAGGAGGGGGAGGAGGGAGGAGGAGGAGGAGGAGGAGGAGGAGGAGGAGGAGGAGGAGGAGGAGAGAGAGGAGAAGAGGAGGAGGAGGAGGAGGAGGAGGAGGAGGGGGAGGAGGAGGAGGAGGAGGAGGAGGAGGAGGAGGAGGAGGAGGAGGAGGAGGAGGAGGAGGAGGAGGAGGAGGAGGAGGAGGGAGGAGGAGGACGAGGAGGAGGAGGAGAAGGAGGAGGAGGAGGAGGAGGAGGAGGGGGGAGGAGGAGGAGGAGGAGGAGGAGGAGGAGGAGGAGGAGGAGGAGGAGGAGGAGGAGGAGGAGGAGGGGGAGGAGGAGGAGGAGGACGAGGAGGAGGAGGAGGAGGAGGAGAAGGAGCAGGAGGAGGAGGAGGAAGACGAGGAAGAGGAGGGGAAGGGAGGAGGAGGAGGAGGAGGAGGAGGAGATTGCTGGCAGGGAGGGGGGCATCTTTGGCAGCAAAACGAAAAGGAGTGCGTCGATTCCCAACACACACACACACACACACACACACACACACACACACACACACACGCGCACATGCACTTGTTGCGTCGGCGGCTGGGCAGAGGGCGACTGCTCTGGCGGAATGGCAACAGGGGACACGCTGTATGCAAAGTAAGGCCGCAATGCACGGAAGGAGGAGGAGGAGGAGCCCCGGCGCGACAGGAAGAGGAAGCCGGGCCACTCAAAGCTGCCAGCAGCGGCGGGGGGAGCGCTGAGGGGGGGAAACAGAGCCAGAACAGAGCTGCACTGCACTCCACTGAGCTGAAGCTGGGGGGAGGCAACATGGAGCTGCACCTGGTGGTGGAAAACACAACGCAGCAGAGCCCGACCCAGTAAACCGAGCAGTCCAGGGATGGGCCAGTGCGCCGAGACCTGCGGGCCTACGAGGCGCGTGCGCATAGCTGGAAAGCGGAGAGGCCCGAAGGGAGCTGCCGACTGCGGCGGGGGGGAGCGCCGCAAGTGGGAACCGGCGCCAGCACTGAACTGAACAGGGCTGAGGCTGCGGGGGAGCAGCACTGAGCTGCAGCAGAGGAGGGAGAAGCACAATGTAGCAGAGCCCCGAACTGGTGAACCCAGATACGGTCCAAGGATGAGCCGATGCGCCAAGATCTTGGGCGCGGGCAGGGAGGGGTGGATGACATGCGACGGCCCCGCGCAGCACTGAGCGGCACGGAGCAGAAGCGGGAGCAGGCAGCCCGCGGAAGGGCGACGGAAGGGGAAGTAGGAAGAGCAAAGCAGAGTCTCGACCCGTTGCCGAGGGGAGGGCACCCCGAACGTCGGCAACGCTGGGGAGCGCCGAGACCAGGTTGACCAACGAGGCGCAGGCGCGGAAGAGAGGGACAGCCCGGCGATGCGCAACGGCGTGGCAGGCCAGGGAAAGGAGCAGACCCACGCCAAGTGGGGGAGCGGCGGGCCCAGGGCGCAGGCGGGACGACAGCCGACGCCACTGCCTGGCCAGCGGCGAGGCGAGGAGGCACGAAGCACGCGACACACACACACACACACACACACACACACACACACACACGCGCACTTTCCCTCTCCCCTCCTTCCTCCCTCCTTCTCCCGCCCTCCACCATCGTCCACGCTTCCTCCTCCCGCCCTCATCCTCCTCGATGATCCCTATCTCTCGTCTCTCATATCGTATATGTATATATATGTGTAAATACATATCCCGTCCCTCCGACAGCATTCACATTTCCTCTCTGATCTAGCGAAAGATACGGGAGTCTGAGGAGTGAGGAGGATGAGGAGGACGACGACGATTAGGAGAGGGAAAGAAGAGAAATCGTCGCGTTGCTGTGAGCAAGAGAGGAGAACGATCGTGATTATGCGCTGGTGTGCGGAAGGTCCGCGGGCAGACGCGCAGACGCAGTCTCCCCCTCGGGAGGAGAAGGTGCTGACTTGCCGATGGAAAAGGCTGCAGAGTAAGACGTCGGTCGAGGGTAGGCCTGCGGAGGTTTTCGCTCGAGGACATTGCTGGCAGCTCGCCTGCGCGCGCGTAACCTTATTCGGGCCTCGAATGGTCTCCAAAAACCTTCGGGGACCTCTGGGGAAACATGCCAAACCACGGCGCCAGTATCCCCGTCCTACCCATACATTATGGTCCGCTCGGTCCGTCGTCCCCCTCGATGCCGTTGTCCCAGGGCCGTGCTCCTAATGTGTCCTGCCTCCTCCCCTGTCGTTCCCCCCTGCCCCGCAGTACTCATGTCATCCTGCTGCTTCTCCTGCTCCTCTTAATGTGAAGTCGGGCGTGTCCCCCTACAGGGGGATTTTCGACGAAAAAATACTCGAACAAAATTGCAAAATGATCCCAAAAAAAAACACTCAAGAAATAGTTCCCGGGCTATTCTTTGACTATTTTTGAATACTCCACCTGTAAAGGGACAGGCCCGACTTAACCTTAATGCTGCCCCACCGCTCCCTCCTCGGGCGGGCACCTTTGGTGGGTCTGCGCTACTCCGACGCCCTCGCCAAGAGGCCATGAATCTTCTCCCCGGGGCGGGGGCCGCGCGCAAGCATGCGCGTTCTTGAGTTCCCCCACGCGTCCAAGGGTGAGAAGAGAGGAGGAGGAGGAGGAGGAGGAGGAGGAGGAGGAGGAGGAGGAGAAGGGTCAGGAGGAATTGTCTGGACCTCAGCGACGGGTGGTCGACGCTGGCCGTTGGGTGAGGGAGGGAGGCATCCGAATCGCGGTCATGGCTTCGCAGCCGTGGCTCCCGCAAGTCCGCGCCACCAGGAAGCAGCATTGCATGGGACGCACAGGGACTAATACTATATGTCCCCTGGGAGGCGCGCACTCGACCCGAACATGTAGCATACCCATCTTGTAGTATATCGTTTCCCGATCGGTGTGGCCAGGAAGCGCTCGCCACGACGCATATACTATGAGATTTCTCGGTGCGCGCGGCGCCTCTGGGGGGAGGGCGACGCACACATAGTATCAGTATGCTGGGGTGCCGCCGATTGCAGCGCGAGGGGCGCGGGGGGAAAGGATGGGAGACGGAGGAGGCGAGCGTAGAGTGGGGCGGCGCGGGCCCCAGCCCACAGGACGATGGAAGTGGAGAAGGGAGGAGGAGGAGGAGGAGGAGGAGGAGGAGGACGAGAAGGAGGAGGAGGAGGAGGAGGGGGAGGAGGAGGAGAAGGAGGAGGAGGAAGGCACTGGGGAAGTGGGTCGCGCAGGCCAGACCAAGGCGCGGGAAGAGGCTCCAGAAGCGGCAGTTCGGCACATGGTCCTTGTCACGGGCACCATGCCCCTTGCGGCCTGGACGAGGGCACCGCAGCTGATGTCCCTGCTGTCGAAGGCAGTGGCAATTTGGGCCCCAAGAGGCGCCCAAAACGCCTCAAAAGCTGGCCCCAAGAGGTCTCCCAGGAAGGCCTCAAGGGGCAAAGCCATCCATGAGTGTGCTTTGCATGTGTTTTCGGTTTCTTGCCCCATTCGGTCCTAAGACCACTCAAAAGACACCCCAAGAGGCCCCCAAAATCGTCCCAAGACAACCCAAACCCAGACGGCGCTCAGTGAGAAGGCGAAAACCCACCCCCACCCCCAGTCCCGACTCCATCCCCGAACCCGCGATTCAAGGAGTCGGGACTGGGGGTGGGGGGGGGGGTTCCGGGGTCCAGGAGTGGAGAAAACCCACCCCCACCCCCAGTCCCGACCCCCTGAATCGCCGGCTCGGGGATGGGCGTCGGGACTGGGGGTGGGGGTGGGTTTTCGCCTTCTGACTCAGGAGGGCCCCCCGAGAGCCCCAAGATGGCCCGAAGGCGGTCTAAGAGCACCCCAGGACAGCCCCAGAGAGGCCACCGAGGCGGCCTCCGAGGGCGCCAAGCGGCTCAAGAGCGCCGTAAGTCGGCCCACGGAGAGCCCCAAGAAGTGGAGAAGGAGGAGGAGGAGGAGGAGGAGGAGGAGGAGGAGGAGGAGGAGGAGGAGGAGGAGGGGGAGGAGGGGGAGGAGGAGGGAGGAGGAGGAGGAGGAGGAGGCGGAGACACCATGAAGGCCCAAAAGACGAGAAAGCCCAAAACATGACAGCCCTAATGCGGCCCCAGGGGGCCCTTCCACCAGTGTTTCCCCGGTGCTTTCCCCAGCGGCCCGGGGGGGACATGAAGTCTACCAGCGCGGCCACGCGTTCGTTCGACACTTCACGGCACAGGCGCGTCCAAAAGGCAGTGGGCGGCAGTGCTTCGCCACACGCGTCTTCGATACAGCTAGGATAAACCAATTATCTCATCGGTGTCGCAAGCGAGCGCGCATTGGATATTGACTAGTGGTTACCATCATCATTACAAGTACCAACGGCATCACCACAATAATCATCAGCACGCTCATCCATCACCATGACCACCATCGTTCTCTTCACAAGCACCTCATGATGATACCCGTGCTCCTAAACACTCGCAATCCTCATCACCACCATCGTGATCTCCAATTTGGTCATAATCGAAACCAGCATTCCCCGAGTGTTGCAACGAAAGGGCAACTACTTAAGTAGGTTCAAAGATGGGGTGCGGGATTGCAGGTGACGTTTCCCGCCGGCACTGTCCGATACATGATGAACGATGAAACGTTCTGCGGAAACTCCGACTGTTGTCGCCAGACGGTAGTGACCATTGCTAGCCGGTGAAAGAAAATCCAGAAAAAGGTTCGGGTTACAGTCGAGGGCAGGCAAGAGCCGCTTCTGGCCAAGCGCGACCACGGTTTGCTGGATGACCCGTCCCCGGCGAACGCACTAGCAACTACGAGCGGATCGATTATAGAATGTACACAATCTCCACTTGCCGTCCCTGGCTGGCACTGGCCGCTGCAAG